GGTGCCTATTTTTCCATTTTCTGTAAATAAGCTAAATACGTCCTAGACGAATCAAATGAATTAGATGCAACACTAAGCTAGATTACTTCGTTCCCCTCAATAAGGTGTCTACTACTGGATCTAAACCTCAGTGTAATACGAGGTCGGCTAAAAAAACTTAATTTGGATTCTGCGGCATACTGAGTAACAAATTTGCCAAAAAGCTCTTAATTCAGTGAACTGGAAACAAAATCAACTATTCAATCAGTCCGATAAAACTAGCGGCTATAGATAATGAAATGGTACAGTCATGGTCCAAAATATCCCTTATAATACAAAATGCATACTGCAAGACAAAGGACTAACTCGATTAATAGCAGAATTTTTAACTTCTGAATGATCATAAATGTATCCAAACGGGCATTCTTTACGCTCTCCCAAACGACAAGTTTCGTACCGGCAGGGGTCTTCAGTACAGTTAGGTGGGTATAATAAATCACTAACTATCCAGTAACTAACATTTTCCGGCTCCGCTTCAGAAACTCGGCATCTAAAATTAAGTAAACCGAGCTTAAATGAATAATTCGTGAATAGCAAAACAAGAAAGAAAATAAAATAAAATACAGCCTAAAATCCCAAAAACCTGTTATTAAAATGCAGTTATGAGAAGGAAGAGTAATATAAAAAAATGTAATGTAATTTCTTCAGCAAGCAAAATTCATGTTGTACATAAAAGATAGTGAAGGTAAACTAGCTGTGATGACGTTTTGGAAACAAAAAAAATTTAAAAGTACGAGTTTTAGAATCATTTGACGATAAAATGTTTCAATAACTGTGAAAAAATTAAAAGTCGTATCGAAAATTTCTAGACATATTTAAATTTCAAATTCCTATGCAGAGATAAACGATAACAAAAGCAAAATAATCCAGCAGCATACCTATGCGGCAAAGACGACGCAGTAAATGTCCATGAGAGAGACTGCATCGCGACGAACATTGGCGGGACACACAACAAAGCAAACTGGATTTTCTGATACCTTCCAAATTCCCCCAAATAAGTGAAAAGAAGTTCGTCAAACTTCATTTTCTGAAAATTCAGTAATTACACAACTAAAAAGGTATTTATTTTGAAGCAACAGTAGCTGATAATGAAAACAATTAACGCTCTACAAAAAGGGCTAAGTAGAGACATCAAACAAAATTGATATGAAAAAAAGAAATATGAGAGCGCTTATCTTCCAACAGTTAGTTAATTGACGATGAAAATCACGACTATGTTAGTTCTATGTCTCCTTCTACAGCAGTATTAATAAAAATAAAGTGTAAGATAAACGTATATAAACGACTTATGAAACTGATTCTGATTTTCATCCTTACACCCAAATAATTGTGTAAAATGAAAAAATTGGCGAAACATGGTTCTCCGGCTCAATGGTTGAAAAGTTACAACTCTATTTCTGCTAGATATTTTACCAAACAAACCAATAATTTTTCGAAAACTCAAAAAAGTTTCTGTATTACCAACGGTGTACAATCCAAAATATAATACGACTTTTGAAGCACCAGCGACAGCTAAGATTTAGGTTTTTTAGAAAAAACCGACTTGCTTGA